AGGAGTTTAGTGAGACTCAAAGGAAGTTCAAGGTGAGCATGTCATGGCTCAGTCCTAATCACAAAACCTGGTATGTTCATTTGAAGCAGCTTGAAGTCATCCCGTAGATAGATAAGAAACAGGCATTTTTTGTGCAGAATGTCTACTATGCTGGCAAGAATGAAATAACACTGGCCCACAAAATGAGAGTGGTTTAACTTCAGTGACTCTACATATGCTGAAATGCTCTCATATTTGCATCTAAAATTGGTGTTGCATAGTACAAAGATGAACAGCAAAGTTCACGCTCATAATTTATCATTTGAATTTTTCTTCATTTAGACCGACACTTAGTAGTAAATGAAAATACCTTGACAAGTTGGGAGACTACAATAAAGGAAAAGTTTTAATATTTTTAGTATGTCTAATAATTTCCCTTCTGTCCTGTACATTTTGTTGTGGACCTCACACATAATCTGGCTGACTTCAAAGAGGGATCATTAAGCAGTTTTTAGCAGGGAAGGTACACAATAAGACTATCACTTGGAGCCAGCGAGTGGCATGGTGGTTAAAATGCTAGACTCCCACAGGGCTGACCATGGTTCAAGCTCTGAACCTGGCAGCTTGCTTTCTCACTTTCATTCCCTCTCTCTGATCAAATTAAATAATAATAATAAATAAAACAAATCATTCTTTAAGAATAAAAGACTATTACTTCTGAAAAATAACCCTCGCCAGAGTGTAGCAGTTAGGACAAAGATAGGTACAGCAAGGGTGAGAGGACCTGTCATCATGGGTGCCGAAGTCTATGCTAGAACAGGGACAAAGGGACCAGAGGTACAGGGACAGATGTACTAGGACTCCGTGGCTTGGTGATTCAGTGCAAGAAGGAGACAGCAAGAGAGAGGACTCCACCTCGACTCCCAGATTCCTGGCTCTAGCCGCTAGGAGATGTCTTTTACTGAGATGTGGAAGAGGAGGAAAAGAGTTTGGAGTGGGTGAGGGAGGAGGAATGGGTTGAAAGAGAAGGTCTGGAACATGGTGTAGACTTGTCATGTTTGTATCGAGGCATTATCTCCCTCTCTCCCCTTTCTTCTGAAAACAGACCCCACCTGGCCTCAGGAGTATGGCCCTGATCTATTAGGTTATCAGGAAAGTCATGACACATTTTTGCACAGAAAATATACAAAAACACATCGTGACTTTCCCGACGACCTAATAGGTTGGACCTATCACAGTACTCAGTTGTGTACACATGCGCATTCATGTGCACGCACACACGCCCCCAAACACCATAAACTCAGTCTCTGCTACAGGTGCAAGGAGTCAGCAGGTCGATGTCCAAAACCTGGATAATAGGAGTCCTTCCCTGGGATTTTTTTTTTTTTTCAAGCTAAAGTTATAGGAGATGTTCCTTTCCTCTCTCACACCAGAAATGAGCCTACAACTCCAGCTAACACAGTTTAGGGGCCCTGAGACTTATGTCTTTGGTAAGGAAACCCTAAAGCAGGGCTGACCATGGTTCAAGCTCTGAACCTGGCAGCTTGCTTTCTCACTTTCATTCCCTCTCTCTGATCAAATTAAATAATAATAATAAATAAAACAAATCATTCTTTAAGAATAAAAGACTATTACTTCTGAAAAATAACCCTCGCCAGAGTGTAGCAGTTAGGACAAAGATAGGTACAGCAAGGGTGAGAGGACCTGTCATCATGGGTGCCGAAGTCTATGCTAGAACAGGGACAAAGGGACCAGAGGTACAGGGACAGATGTACTAGGACTCCGTGGCTTGGTGATTCAGTGCAAGAAGGAGACAGCAAGAGAGAGGACTCCACCTCGACTCCCAGATTCCTGGCTCTAGCCGCTAGGAGATGTCTTTTACTGAGATGTGGAAGAGGAGGAAAAGAGTTTGGAGTGGGTGAGGGAGGAGGAATGGGTTGAAAGAGAAGGTCTGGAACATGGTGTAGACTTGTCATGTTTGTATCGAGGCATTATCTCCCTCTCTCCCCTTTCTTCTGAAAACAGACCCCACCTGGCCTCAGGAGTATGGCCCTGATCTATTAGGTTATCAGGAAAGTCATGACACATTTTTGCACAGAAAATATACAAAAACACATCGTGACTTTCCCGACGACCTAATAGGTTGGACCTATCACAGTACTCAGTTGTGTACACATGCGCATTCATGTGCACGCACACACGCCCCCAAACACCATAAACTCAGTCTCTGCTACAGGTGCAAGGAGTCAGCAGGTCGATGTCCAAAACCTGGATAATAGGAGTCCTTCCCTGGGATTTTTTTTTTTTTTCAAGCTAAAGTTATAGGAGATGTTCCTTTCCTCTCTCACACCAGAAATGAGCCTACAACTCCAGCTAACACAGTTTAGGGGCCCTGAGACTTATGTCTTTGGTAAGGAAACCCTAAAGGAGAAACGTGTATGGATGAGCAGTGGAGAGAGTTCCAAGGACTTTGAGATCTGAGCTGTTTCCAGTTTTCTTCTGTCTTTCCCAGTGACACAATCCAACAAATCCAACTCCCTGCTAGGTCTCACCACACACCTTTTATATTTTCTTAAAGTTAGTTGGAATAAGCTTTCTGTCACTTGCAACTGAAAGAATCCTGATTACTACAGGCACACAGGTAGTGCCTATGGAAACAGTGTGTGGTAGGGATTACCATGCCCATAGCATGGAGAAGTGGCCTGAGACTCGGAAAGGTTAAGTAACCTGTGGAAAGCCTTGTGGCCAGCACATTGCAATACCTGGGCATCAGTGCAACTCTGTCTAGCTCCAAAGCTGATCACCTCTCTACACCACCGCACTTTCCACCCAATCTGCTCATTATTCTTAGCACTCTTTCAAACTTAGGGATATTCATGCTACTACTCATCCGAGTTTTTTTGCTTAATAACCAAAAGCAATGCTGGACAGATTATGATTTTTCTGGAGTGTGTCCCAGGCACTCACTCCTCACTTTAAAATTCACTGGTAGCAAAGGGCTTAGATGCTAATTTTGCAGAAGGCCAAAGTCAGTGACCTTAGGACTGAACAGTTATTTTCCCAAACTTTCTTTATGAGTTTGAATGGAAAAATCAAGTCTTAATTCCCAGCAAGACTCCTAGGGAGGTGATAAGACACTGAGCTGAAGGCTTCACTTCAGAACAGCTCTCTGCCCTTCTTTTAGGCCTGCTTTTCTCTTTTGTCTTTTGTCATTGTCCCATTGTTCCTTTTTTTTTTAGTTCTTTCTTTCTAACTCAAGCATATTCTAAAGAATATTTTTTGACGAACTTGTCCTAGGGTATTGTGACAGAAACCACTGTCCCCTAACTGTAACTCTGTCCTCTTTCTTTTTTTTTTTTTTTTTTTCAATATAGAACTCTGGGGCAGCAGGTGGTGTAGAGGTTAAGACAGCTTAGGGACCAGTAGGTGGCACTGTGTTTGAGATTCTGGACTTCCGCATGGCCAATTGCAGTTCAGGTACTGGACCTGGTGGCTTGCTTTCTTGCTTTTTTTCTCTCTGTCTCTCTCTGGTGAGCTCACGTGCCCTGTAGCAAATTAAAAATAATAATACTAATAATGATAAATAAAATTAAATAAATAATGCTTTAAAAAAGATGGCTTAATTTCACATGGCCAGGCCAGCAGCTTGAAAAACATGCCGACCACGTGTGCATGCATGCCCAAAATACCAAGAGGAGAATGGAGAAGGGATTGCATGGCTACCTCCGCAGTGGGTGATTTCTCACTTTCTCTCTCTCCAATGAGCACACATGCACTATAGCAAAAAAAAAAAAAAAAAAAAAAAAAAAAAACAAAAAAAAAAAAAAAAAAAAAAAAAAAGGCAAAGAATAAACAAAAATAAAATCTCCAGATTTAGAAAAAAAAATTTTGGGGGGGTCAAGCTATAATTTAAATATCATAAAATTTACATTTTTTTTTTCAGAGAGAGAAAGACTTTTGCTTTAGGGAATGTGTACTCACTAGAAAGAGAAAGAGAGAGAGAAAGTGAGAAATCACCCCCTCAGGGGGATGACCACACCACAGTCAGTTCTCCTCCATTCTCTTGGGATTTTGGGCATATATGCACAATCATCCAGACTGAATCTCAAGCCACTGGGACCAGGACTTGAACCACAATCAGCCATGTGGAAGTCCAACGCCTTAACCACCATACCTGTTGGCCCTCACATTTATCATTTTAAGTGTGGAATTCCATGATTTTTTTGCAATCATCACCATTATCTAATTCTAGAACTATTTATCATGCCCTAAAGAAACCCCATACCAACACAGATACCAGAGACAGTGTGGGAAGAGAGTGGGTGATGGCAGAGGGGAAGAGATGGAAAATTATTTGTTGACAATAACATGTTGTTGATGTGCTTGATTGAGACAATATATAGTGTACTCTAGCTGGAAAAAAAATTTTTTTTTGCACCAAAAAAAAAAAAAAAAACAAGAAATGGAAAATTATTTATTGACAATAACATGTATGGTAATATCCTTGATTGAGTCAAGATACAGTGTATTCTAGATGGACAATCTCGTTTTGTATACCGTAATGATGTACAGTGAATAAATATAAATGAATAAATTTAAAATTTAAAAAAAGAAAAAAAAAAAAAGAAACCCCATGCCTGTTAGCACTCACTGTCCATTCCCACATCCCTCCAGCTCCTGACAATGACTATTCCACTAACTCTATGGTTTGCTTATTCCAGATAGTTCATATCTTAGAACTACATGTCTGGCCTTTTTCCACTTAGCCTATGTTTTCAAGGTCCATGCACATTGCAGTATGTATAAGCACTTCATTCCTTTTATTGTCAAACAATATTTCATTTCCTAAGTGCTCCATAATTTTGCATATCTATCAGCTAATGGGCATTTGGGTTGTTTCCCACTTTCCAGCTTTTATGAATAATGATGCTTTGAACATTCATGCACAGGTTTTGGTATGAAAAGATGTTTTCAATTCTCTCAGATATATACTGGGAGTCATATAATAACTCTATGCTTACCTCTCTTTGGAAGCTGCTGAATTATACAACATTCCACAGTGGCTTCATCTTTTAACATTCCCATCTACAAGGTATAAGAACATTTTGATTCTTAGCTGGCATACTGAGTCTGGGAAAAGAATAAATTTCTACTCCCCTTCTACCTATGTGTGGCCATTTGACTAAGTTCAGTTTATGGGACAGGATGGAAGCAGAGGTGGTGTGTGCAATTTCTTAGGGAAATGTGTCCTTCAGCTGGAACCATGGAACAGCAGTAATGGGCTGCTCAAGAGATGCTGAATACATATGGAAGATTAGGGGTTCAGTTCCCCAGCTAACCTGTACATGCTGGGTGCATGTGCCTATGATTCTGGCTGACTGGGAAGGCTGGGAAAGGAGATTACTACATGAGACTCTTTTGAGGGTACTTGTCTTTCTTTCCCTCTTTCCATTCTTTTCTCCCTTCTTCATGAACTAAATTTAAAAAGGAAATTAAATATGTCCTCCTCTGTTGCTTTCTCCAACTGCTGGTTGGAATGTTGACTTAATGACTAGAGGTCCAGCAGCCATTCTGGGTCATGGAGTGACTTTGGGAAAGGAAGCCAGAGCAGAGGGTAGAAGGAATCTATACCTTACATTGTGAAGGGCCGCGCTAGCCCTGGAATAATCACCTCTGGACTTCTTGAATATGAGAGAGAAATAACTTCCATTATTAATATTTTGGTATTATTATTTTTATCCTTATTAGCTGTAGACAAATCTAACTTTAAGTAATACAGTTACTGAGTTTTTTTACTCATTGAGAAAATTTTTGCTGAAAGCCAACTAAAAGCCAAAAGCCAAGTCTTGAACTTGTTGCTAAAGAAATGAAGATACATGAGCTAAGGACCTAATAATGTAGGGCATCATGTTGAATTGAGAGATTGTCATGTAATTAAGTAAGTCAATGCTTAAAAGCCAAGTCTCACACGTAAATGGAGGAAAAGACAAATGAAATCAACTTAAAGCAACTTAGAGATCTTGGTTTAGTCTTCTTGCTCCTATCACTGCTTCCAAATTTCCAACAAATTTTAATCTTTGGGATTTAGGAAGAAGCAATTAGAATTCCTGGATAAGCTATTCCTTTTTTTTTTTTGGAGAGGTTTTTTTCACTATAGGGCACATGCATTCCCCAGACAGACAGAGACAGACAGAAAGCGAGGAAAAATCACCCCCCAGGGGGGATGGCCACGCCACAATCCCTTCTCCTCCATTCTTTTCTTGGGATCTTAGGCACACACGCACACGCACCCAGAGTGAGTTTTAAGCCACCGGGTCCAGGACACAAACCATGGTTGACTATGTGGGAGTCCAGCGACATAGCCATTATGCTAACTGCTGGTCCCCCCCCCCTTTTTTTTTTGAGAGAGATTTTTGTTATAGGGTATGTGCACTCACTTGAGAGATAGACAGAAAGTGAGAAATCTCCCCCTAGGGATGATGGCCACACAGCATTCCCCTCTCCTCCATTCTCCTCTTGGGATCTTGGGCATGCACGCCCACATGCCAGATGTGAATTTCAAGTTGCCAGGACTCAAACCTCAGTTAACTATGGGAACCAGCAGTTAGCGTAATGGCTATGTCGCTGGACTCCCACGTAGTCGACCGCGGTTCG